AATAAGAAACACTAACATGTATAAATGCATTAGCATAAAATTTAGAACCAGCTCCGCAGCGGAAATGTAAACTAGAGGAAGCTTTCCTCCCACATATTGACTTAGACATTTCGATTCAAAAAAACTGTTGAGCTACACTTGGGGGGGTTCTGAGTATTCCTTGGTTTTAAATGGTATTTATCAGGATCATTCTGTCATTTGACATTTAAGCAAACAAGAGCATTATATGCTTTCTGAATTATGTAAATTGGAAGCATCTATGAATGGGTGCAGAATAATCACACGCAGTGACTAGAATTTAGACTCCAATTAACTAAACTAACATTTATTTATTTTGGGTGCATACTTTCTAATAGGATGCTTCACACATAAGTAATTAAACTTAACATCATGTCACAGGGACAAAAGCATGTATATGTGATTCACTTTTTTGTCACAGATTTTTCAAGTGACAAAAAATATGGTTTGTCTCTGCCTGTCTCTATTAGAGTTTCCATTTTCTATACTCTGTTTACAGTTTGTTGCAAATTAAACAATGTCAAACTGACAAGCTGTGGGTTTTTTGCTAAAATTACTGACTTGTTAGGGGCGAAAAAACCTCTTTTGGGAAAAAAAATGAATATGCTTTTTCTTCAGCAAGACTTAAATGAAAGCTTTTCTCCATGCTGTTGGCACAAATGAATTTGGCTCAAGTAAAATGCAAATTAAAGCTATTGTAGGCACTTCTTTTATTAAAGGAAAATACGTATTTCTATAAGTTGTTGATCGTGTTTCTACATATTTATGTTCATTTTGCTATCCAACAGATTATACTGAGTTAAATTACCTAAATCCCCCTTTGCATGAGATTCATTCAAATCTACTGGGTCAGGTATCAGCTTACAATAAAGTGCACTGAAGCTTCTCTCATTAGCCTAAAATCCCAGGGACAGGACAGTGCAGAAAAGGCACTCCCCTTCAGTTTAACACTTGTATTTTTGGATCCCAGTGGTATGTTAATGATGCATTTTCTGTATATACAACCTGAAAATAAAAATATATGACCGTGTTAGTGAGATAGCCTGTGTGAGCCACAGGAAGACAGGGAGGAGAAAATGTTCATTGCCACTGCTGTTGGGACTCTTAACACTTTAGGACTTGGTTCAGGATAATTAAATGGCTGTTCTAATAAGTCTCACAAGAAGACAGAGGTATTTCCAAACACATCGTACCACAGTAGTCTCATGGTACACTGATGTTCTGGTGTTCACTGACTATCTCAGTAGCCTCACCCCAGACATGCAGGGATTGTTCCCTTTTGTTTGCACTTGTGCATTCAGGGTTAACTTCACCCTGCTCACCTGGGGCCTGTGCTTTCTGTTGTGTCACTGTTCTGATTATTGAACAATAAATAGTCTATCAGTCAGGGGAGTTTAAAGCATCCAGGACCAAGCAACTCTCAGGCACACATTTTGCTCCCTGAGATGTGCTGCACAGTCCTTGCCCGTTCCAAACACTGACTGCCACTCAATTTTGTTCTGAGGGCCTTTGTTTCCACCTCAATAGCAAATCAGTGTTTGACCATCTAATGCCCAGGTCGATCCCTTTAATTCAGCATTTGTGGATTGCACAATTTGCAGTTGGAATGCTGACTGCTCCTTTCAGCTCCATGAGGATCTCTAATGTGAACCTTTTCCTATGGAAAATGCATTGAGTAGGGATTTTTGGGCTGGATGGCCCTTCCACGATTCTGTTGTCCCAACTAATTTTATTGAGAAAGTTAATTGGATTTGTGCAGTAAAACCATTTTGTAGATACCACAAAATTTAAATGAACAAACACAAGCGTATGGGAGATGGCATTAATTCTCTTCTTCCTTCCCAAGGTGGGAAGGCCAGTTTACTAACACCCTCTAGCAAACAACTATTCCATACTAAAACTTATCAATGTTAAAAAATTGTATTGACATCTGTATTAAATACTTCTTCTGAAATTTCATTTCTCTCAAACATTAATCATTAAAATTCTCATTGCAATCTAGAGGGAACCAATGTTGAAATGATAGAATTTCTCTGGCAGTCCAAATAAAGGTATTTGCCTAAGTGAAGTTTGGTGTGAATCTAGATAGGTCTATGTAGAAAACAAAAAGATGAAAATTCATTATTCCTATGCAGTATTGAGAAAAAATAACATATGATTAAATCACAAAATGTGATATATCACGTTTATTAAATTGCAGTGTTAGATATTGTTCTGTTGTTTTCCTAGTGAACTGTCATCGATGGATACCCAAAAGAAAATACACACTGCAATGAATCAAAATAAGAAAGATAAAAAGAAATTTGGATATTTTTCTGACAAGAAGTTTGAGGATTCAGAGGTAAATAACAACCATCTAATACAAGAATTTGATGGAACTCCATTTTGCCACAGAAAGCCATTTAGTCAGAGTCTCTGATTAGCTCTGTCTAGTGATTTCTAGATCTGGTTCAAATAAAGTAGCCTTTTCCAGACCTAGTATACAGAAACTATGAGGGAGAGATAAAAGAAGGCATTTACAGGTCCTGACATCTGATGTACTGGGGAATTTAGCCATGTATGTAAGCACACAAACTGCAACGAAAATGGCAGTAGCCATTTTCCTAAAGGATCTGGCTTAAATGGGAATATACAATTTGGAAAAAAATTGCATGAACATAGATAACTGAAGTAAGCTTTAAAAATATGACAACTGTAGAGAAGAACTAGTGGTAAAGTATATTCAGAAATTAGTAGAATATTTACTTCTCTCTAAAATTATAAAAGCATATTTGTTTGTGCCTAATCTCTGACTAACACTTTCTGAGGTGTGACCTGGGGAATCATCTTCAGTCAAATCCAGACATAAATGAGTCTTTCAGAAAATCACACCTCATTCCCTCCACTGTGACTCAGTGAGCCGAGGGAAGGAGTTGTTCCAACCTGACTTGTTTTCCTCTTGGAACCAGATTTTGAATCCTCTGGCTATGTTTGGCAAAGGACACATGCTTCACATCATGCTATGGCTTCTGTGACATGCCCAGGCTCAGGATCCACCTCCTTTTAACTGTTTGGTTTTAATTACTCAGCTGTGAAAAAATAGGTGTGTGCATAAGTTTGGATGTACAGGCATGTGAGCAGATGATTCATCTTGTTCACTGTGAAGGCAGGTGTGAAAAATTTGAAGAAAAGGACTACTTTTATACAAAATTCAATGCTAATTTCATAGAAAATCACCAAAGTGTTGATTAATGAGGAAGATCACTTAATGCTTCCTAATTAGACTGATGGAATTTACCTTGTGCCCTTAATTCATTGTGTATTAAGGAGAAATGGCTAAGGTTTTTATTTTAATGCTTTGTTTATTCCCAGTCCTTCATTTCAAGTTTGTCATCTGTGCAGTAATTTCCTTTTGCTTCTTTGCATTAATAGTTTAGTGTAAATAACCTGGCTGGTTGAAACCAAAGTAGAAAGAAGGCTCCAGTGATATTCTGGTAAATATCTGTGGGCAAGCATAATTAAGCAAGCAGGAAAAAAGGAAAACAGCATCATATAAGGGTCGCAGTGTTGTAAATCCAAAACAAGGGAAGGAGCATGACGGCATCCAAAAGTGACCAGTGCAATTTGATGACTATGTAATTGTTGGAACCCACACAGACATCACAAGAGGTGACAAAAATCTGAAAGACATAGATTAAATGCTCCTGGATCTGAATCCTGATTTCCCCAATGTACAGCTGCTTACAGCCCCTGTTCTAATTCCCATCCATCTACAACAAAAGATGAAATTACCAGAATGGCTTTCCTTCCAGACTGATTAAATGGAGCAGGAAAATAGACAACAGAAATGGTAATACATTATAATTAGAAACTTGTTTCAGTGTAATAATCTAAGGCATCAATTGTGGCATAAATCCTATTTCAAGAAAGCAGTTAAGCATATATTTAAGTCTATCTATATTGACACAAGACATTTAAACATACACTTCAATTGAAATGTGGACTTAAAGTCAAATTAAATATAATATTGAAGTATATATGCAAACTTGAAGTATTTTTTTAAGAAGGTTTTCCCAAGCAAGGATAACTTTAAAAGCTTATTATGTTGTGTTGAGTTACCACTGAATTCCTGCACAAGAATCAACACAGGCAGTTATCGAAGGTATTTCATTTCCATCTTTCTGAAAAAGTATTTGGCTGGACCGGGTTTTTTTTAACCTTTGCTTTCAGTGTTACATCATTTTATAGTCCCTTCTTTTAAAATAAAGAAGGGCTTCTTTGCTCCTTGCTGATGTAGATCCACAAGAGCCATAAATGAGTAAGTTGACAGTAAGAGGAAATAAACTTTTCAGAAGATTCATATTAGTGTATTTCAGAACAAGTTATTCACACCTTTGTGCAAATTGGTAAATGCCTTTATTTCCTGCTGTTCCTACAGCATCTTTGATTTCTACATGTCTTCAGTGTAATTGGACATGAGTTTTGGCGATATGTGTTCCTGCAAATTTATGATTCTGGACAGGTGCTTTGAGATGTCAGGTTAGGGGACAAAAGGTTTTGCTATTGTTTGTCAAAAGTCTTCCTCTGAAAGAACCGAAGGAAGCCTAAGACATGTATGGTATTTAGAAGTCAGTGTCAAAGACTCTGACAAAGGTTAGTTTGTGGACATATCCATGGAGGAAATATCCAGTTTCTAGTTTCAGAGCACTGTATAAAATAAGCATTTGCAGGGCACGTTGCCAGTAGCAATTTGTGCTCACAAGCCCATAGCAAATAGCTCCAAATGCAGGCTCTGTCCATGGGTCCTTGTTCCCACGAACAAGGGATATTGCAACGCTCTCCTTACATCTCCTTCTGTCAGACCTTTCTTCTGTAACTCCAGTTCCTCAAGTTTTCCTTCCTGTAAAAACGTTTCAGAAGACAATTGCTTAAATGGATAAGGCACCTAGTAATCAAAAACATGCCCCCAATCAGAATTGTTTTTCTTTCAAGAGACTGACAATTTATTTTCTTTTCAAATCACATCGCACCACAAATCACATCAGAGGAAAACTCATGAAGTATATTTTCTCAGGCCACTATAACTTAGAATAATTTGTATATCATTCCCTGGAAGATGTGATATTTTATAAATCTCTGTCCTGACAAATTATTCTGTCTAATTTACTCATCCGTCACATAGATTCTCATTGAGTCATCCACTCTGATTCTGTTTCTCCAATCCTCCGAGTAAAAATGAGAGAAAAAAAATCTGTGATAAGAAAAAGAAAAATAAACTGAAATTAATAATCAAGCTAGCATAAAATAAATTTAATATTATAAATATCAAATATTTCAATTTGCAGTAAGTACTCTACTTGTAAAGAAAGGCACTACTTACTGATTAGAAATGTGTGGAAATATTGCTTTTATGTGGAAGAGCTAAACAAAGCCACCAATTTTGTAATTATAAAGGTGGTTTTGATTTTATTTTCTTTCTTTATCATCTACACCTACAAGTGTAGAAATTTTTTTGCAGGTCTGTTACTAGCATCTATCTTTTTTTTTTTTTTTAACTTTTTCTTCCTTTTTATATTATTTTCCACTTGAAGTTTTAGGAAAACTAACTAAAAAAGATAAGAAACTAAACCACTACTGAAAATGATTCCTTTCAAAACAGCTATAGATGGGCATGAGTTAAGCATTCAAAATGTTCCTTTGAAGCAGTTTTGGGGTTTTTTCAGCAATGTAGTATCCAGTGGGTTTGACAGGAAAAGAATGAAAAGCTTGCATTGTCATTTCAGCATTTCCCCACTTATTTTAATTGAACTTTTCTATGACTTTTGTGCTACTAGAACTTGGGAGAAAACCTTTTTCTGACCAAAAGCAGGGCTGTTGTTGTAGGTGTATAAGCCCTGTGTGTGTGTACATATATCATATAAAAGATTATATACAATTAATGCCTCTCTCTGCATTGGAGGATTTCTCGTGTAGGAATGAAGCAGCAGTTTGAGAGCTGTTCTGACTGATCCCAGCTGAGATCCCAGCAGTGTGGCCATGACAGGGCTCACAGGAGGGCCAGCAGGAGCGTGAAGGCCATGAAAAGCTGCTCTCAGAACATCTGCAACAAACCTCAAAAATACCAAAGCACGTGCAAAAATGCCACCCCTGTGAGGGTCTCCGGGTTACACTCCCTGTCACCAGTAGCCTGGCTGAGTCACACGTTGCTGGCTCCCTGCAGCCCATTTCTGAGGGATGCACAATGTGGTGAGTCTTGTGGACCAACCAGTCCTACCTGAGCTGGCAGAAGAGCATCCTGGTTTCTGCTGTTATACTGTTACCTAGTTCTGGTTGTTGTACTTGAGCTGAAGTTTTTTTGAAGAGAGGCAATTAATCAAAAGCTACTAGTAAAGTCTTATTTTTACTCATAAATATATGCTTTTTGCTCTCTAAGAGCAAGCAGCATGAAGGACACATTCAGAGAACACACGATTTCTGTTAGGTACTGGTCTAAAAGACCTAACAGAACTTGGCTGGGGGTTTTTTTTAATGTTATAAATAATTTAACTTGTTTTAATTATTCTCAGGAAATAATTTGAGAGTCTCTACTATGAAGATAACACATACAGGATTTTTTTTTAAAATATCAAACAGATTTGAAGTGATACTTCAAAAGTCCTCTATTCATCAGCAATCAATGTAGTGAGAACTAAATAGTTCAACTGTGCTTCTGTGAACATAAAAGCATGATGTTTGTAAGCCTGTCTCACAGCAGCAGCTAAACATCAAAACAATACAGAAATTTAAAAATAAAAATAGTTATGGAAAGTGACCTGTTCCTTCTCAGGTACCAAAAATATTTCAAAGTTTTGTTTAAATATATTTGCTTCCTTACAAACATATAAGATAAGGACCAAGAACACTTCAAATGCAACAAATATATGTTTTATGGCTCTTAGAATTTAGCCTTGCTAAATTAGAGTGAATTCCACCATTGATTTCAATAGTACCTGGCTTAGGTACTATTGAATTTAAGATTTAAGTCCTTCATAAAATGCAGACTTTAATAACTTTAATTCCCAGATGGTTCCAGAGTTGCTAAGGAAGCAGCATTTGACTTTATGTTATGAACTGCCTCAGGATGAGCCACATAACCTGAAGGATTCTGTGCCAAGAGCACAGGGGCTGCCTTACTGTGTACATTCACCTTGCCTTGTGTCACATCAGCTGACCTCATCAACAGTGAGTCCCAAATTCCAGGAGTAAATGTTTTCTTGCCAGCTTACCAACAAAGAAGAACTTTGTGATAAAATGGTAATTTTAATAATGAATGCCTTTAGCCACTGTTGAAATTTTAATTTCTGCTTGGGAGAAAGAGGTGTACAAGCCAAACAGTTTGTGTATTACTTGGTATATATGTATAGAAAAACTCTACTGTCTAGAGGCTGAAGAGTTCATCTTGTCCTTGCACTTCTGGTGGAGCTGTGTAAGTGTCTATAAAAAATACATTCTGAACAAAAGAGAAAGAATTTGGGGGCCCCGTGGTTAGGAAACCTACCTGACTTGTAGGTGGCAGATGGACATTCACATCATCGCTCTAATGGGAATGAAATTGCTTACAGAGCCTGGAATAACTCCAAGATAAATGAGGTGGTCTGTGATTAGAGCAGTTATCTGGAACGTGGAAGGCACAGCTTAAACTGTCGGTGTGAGGGGCTCGTGTCTTCCTCTCAGCCACAGTGAGCCACAGCCACTGGATCTCTGATGTTCTGGGATGGGCATCAATCTCTTGCTCTCATAGTTTCAAAATTGCAGTAGTATCTTCATTTCAAAATGGAAAACAGAGAGGTTTTTTGCTATAATATTTTTTGCTAGTATTTCCCTCCCATCCCTCACAATGATCCCACTGAGAACCTTTTAGCTCTGTGCCTTTGTAATCCTTGGCCTGTTTGAAATACATGAGGCGAGACCTGTATTGGGGTCAGATCGGCCGTCTCTCATCACACAACTCTAGGAAAAACTTATTGCCAGCTGAAGTGACATTATAACACTCGTGCTCTGCTTGAGATGCTGTGTGATTAGTTTTCTATCTGGGCTGTAATAATTTGGCAGACACCTCTAACACTGTAATCAGTTCAAAACGTCATGCTGTATTAGCTAAAGCTTACAGCAATCAACCCAAAGCAGAAAATGCTCAGAAATCAAGAAAAAGGAAATTAATGAGGTGGTTCTGTGTTTCAGAAAATAACGTTATTAGAAGTCAAACCAGCAGGGAAGATGCATTCTAGAGAGGCTGTTCACAGGGTCTATCCAGAACTGTTCCCATCCTGTTTTTATTGACTCTTATCATTCTGGTTTCACCACTTCTCAGGGTTCATGTTTGCAGTTTCACTTTCTCATACAATCAAAAATGGTCCCAAGAGCCCGAGGTAGACTTTGTTTAATATCCAAATGTGTCACTGGGCTATTGGGATTCAGAACAAAGCAGAACCTGCAGAGGTTTTTTTCTGTGATATTTTTCTGAAGTGGCTAAAAGCAGGGAACTGAAACACTTCCAAATCCATAGCTAAAGTAAAAAACGCACACACACACACACACACTCACACACTTACTTTTAGCAAGTATGAAATTGTTATTTGCAACCAGAAGATGGCTCTGCAATCAAGCTGGGCAAGCTGAAACCATAGAGATGCAGTATTCAACATTTTTTTCCTGATAGTTTTCAGTTCCCTTCTTCCTCAGTGGAAACACTCCAGTTCCTGTAAGCAGTGATTTAACAATACCTCTTTTTTTTTTTTTTTTCCCTGGCAAAGATTAACTTCCCCCAAAGTCCTAATTTTTAGGATAGGACACAAAGACAGTAGAAAAATGTGATGTCTTTAACTGGCTATGTTGGTATCTCACTGCTGACTTCAGTGGGAACTGATTATATCTAAATATATATAAGATGGTTGGAAGATCCTTCCCTTAAATTCCTGTGGGTGGTGTGAATGGCAGGTTCCTACACACATCAGTCTGTTGTGAGCTGATTTTCTTTTTAATGTTTGGTAAAAAGCTCTCAATGGCTGGTCTTTGACATTACATGGTTATTGAGAAATGGTGCTGAAGATGACGTGGGATAATTTTCTTGTTTAGAATAGGCTGGTGGTGTTTTAATATTCCATAGCACTATGAGGAGTTTATATTACAGCGTGTGTCTTGTGTCTGTCTTGGCCCCTCTGTTCAGTCACCCACAGCTGTAGCACTATTTCAAAAGGATACATGGGGTAATTTCTCACAGTCTTGATATAAAACTGTGAATAAAGCCGACATTTAGAAAAGTTAATATTTTTTTCCTAAACACTGATGTTAATTAGCAAGAAATTCAGTGAAATCAATGAATTAACTCCATTGTGAGCCTCAGGTTAAATTAAAACAAAGTCTATCATATCTTTTCTTGGCATTTGCTTTAAATTACTACTGTAAGAAAAGAAGAGAATTATAAGTGCTGTCTGTTTTATAAGAATTTTAACATATGGAAAAAGATTTGTTATTGTGTGCTTATTGTTTTAAAATTTCAAAATAGAGTTTATGGGGAACTGCTGAGTGTTTTTCTTTCTGTAGGAGAAAGCCATACAGGCAGGAGCAAAAACCCTTAGCAATTTTTCGAGTTTACATTAATATAATAATCAACACTTAGATATTTTTGTCCATGTCCCTTGTTTTTAAATATTGAGATATGGGCCTAGTGAAACACTGTTGTTCTAGTTTTTTACTGGTTAGAATCCATTTCAGTGTCACTTCTGTGGGGTTATACTGCAATGTAATGCAACAGCAAATGAGGTCAATTCACTTTTCCACACGTGGAGCCTCAGACAAAGAGATAATGCTTGAATTTTGGTTTTTAACTTTTTTTTTTTTTTTTAACTTGTGCTCAGTGTAATTAAATGGAATTTATCATGACATGCTTGTCCTAAAGGACAGGTAGAACTTTCAGGATCTCCAACTGTTTCCTTGTAATTTATTCATTTCATTACAAACCTGCAACCCTCCACGGCGTGTGACATAATAGGATACATAGTGTTCCTGAGTACCAGATTTTTATTTGGCTCTTTGATTTATCTCACAGATTCAGGGGCAAAGAAACCCACATGCAGCTGGAAAAATCCCCATGGACTACACATAACATGCCTGCTAAAATGCACAGGTTATTTTGGGTAAAGCTGAGATGAACTTATGTTGTAAAAGTTCCCTTCCAATTTGACTTTCTTGGTGAAATAAGGTGTTTTAGTGTTTCATTTCTGATTTGCTTCCTGTAATTGTGTTCTCCCAAAACAAATGTATCTCAGATCTCAATAACAACTGCTTCTCCACAGACATGTGCAATAACTCTTTTATGAAGCTGTGGATTGCCTTTGCTCTCAGAGAAATTATAGAAACATAGATAGGCTCTAGAAAGGATATAATTTATTTTTAATTCTAGAATAGGTGCAGATTAATAGATGCTCTCACCCCCCAAATTGGCATTGAATTTAAACCTCTGGTACTCTTAGGCTAGTGCTTTTCAAAACCCCTTAAGGTTAAAACTCCTTTCAGTCAAAGTTACATAGAGACAATGAGGATTCTTAATTTTACACTTCCTCAGGTATCACTGAAATGATATTAACATAATATCAATTAAAATCATTAGTAATATTAATAATGATTAATGGAACTGGTTGTTTTATAAGTCTTTTACTAGAGGAAAGTAGGAACTGGTTAACCTGTTATACTTTTTTCACTAATATTTACATATAATAATAATAATGTAGTTATAAATAAAGAGTACTTGCTACAAGTCTTTGTCCATTAAAATGTGCATCACCATTCAGCCTTTTGGTTACTGCATATCTTGAATGGTGTGATAGTCTAAATTGTCCCCTATAAGAGTCTCTCTCATAAAGTCCTACTGAATATCACTGTATTTTTTGTAATACAAAACCAAATGTTGGGTACTAGATTGAGAGAATTTACTTTCTGTCCCTCCTTGTTCCCTTTGTAATTTATATTATACTCTTTTCCAATGACAGACAAGAAAATCACTTTTAGATGGGTATGGGGGGATCAGTTCCCCACTCATGTCAGAGTTCCTGTTGTACAGGTCTAGCAAATTCATTGGACTAAAGAGTAATTTGCATTCAAAGTTGCTCATATGTCACTTGGTTCACAAAGATACCGAATACGGATGAGTGGACACGAGACAAATTTCAGCCAGTGAGAGAACATAAAAATGCCTAGTTAGCTTCTCAAAAATTCACTCAAATTATCGCTGATTACAATCAACATTTTCATTTGATCCACGGAAGACAACAGCCTCACAGAACACAATAATTTCTTCCTCTAAAAGGACCAAATTAACTTTTGATCAAACCAGAACACAGCTTAGGTAGGATATCACGCCTGCTGCCAGGATCTAATGTGACATCTTCAGCCTCATGAGCTGCTGGGTTTTTTACTCAGACTGCAGGTAAGCAGTTTGTTGATGGCTCTTTTTTCATTCTTAATGCAGAAAAGTGCTTATGCAGAGAAGAGAAAATTGCAAAAAGCAGACATTATAGTTATTGAACACCTTAAATTCCACTGAAAGTAATACAGACTGTACTTATCACTGCAAAAGCTGAGGCCTCTGTAAACAAAATATACCATTGGTACTTGTACAGAAACTGCTAATACTTGTTTTCTTCTTGAAACACCTGCTCAGAATATCAGGCATCTAACTTGTATCAAGAATGGCAATTGCCATTTTTCTCCCTGTTTATTCAGCTTTATAGCCTATTTGGAAGCACTTAGGTTCTGAAGTTGTCATTACTATGAAATCATTCTGGAATCTTTGCCATATCCATGGCAACTGGCCTACATATATTACACATTTTGATACAACACCAATGTTCGATGGCATTCTTAATTTCAGATATTAATTTAATATATCAGTGCCTTACATTGGAGTTTACATGTTTTATCTTTTTGTTATAGTAGTGAAAAAACTTTGTTGCTGAATAATGACTTGCTAAAGCATAACTCACACAGTGAAGCACCTACCACAGGATGCATTAGCATGGACTATGGAACACCCAGTGTCGTGTTAACAAACAGGATATGAAAGCACTAAATTAGCTCGTGAAGTATAATGTTTTTTTGGGTCTAGGTAAGCTCTTCTAGGAGAAATCAGTATAATCTTTTCTATTTACATAAATATGCAAGGACAATTCACCCTGCTCAGGCAGCAGCTGGAATCACTTAAACCAGAATATTTTTCCTAGTAAAACATTCAGAGAAGGGTTTGAGGCAGGACCATACCCTGCTACCAACACCAAACACAGGGTGTCATCCTGTGGAGCGCGCTCTGGTGTGCACAGGAGGACCTTCTGTTAGGTCTGGTGAGATGTCCAGGCAGTGCCCTAACCCTCACAGTGGGACAGAGGTGAGCATTCCTCTTGTTCCATATGGATCTTTCTAACAATCCCCAGAGAAAAGTCAGACCCAACGGACTGGCACAAAGACAGCCACTGTTATTAAGAAAACTCATTTCAACTGTCCACACGTGTGGGAGAAGCAGGGCCTGTGTTACATGTGTGGACCTAAGCCAGGCAGATGAACTGCACTTGGCAACAGCCTAATAAAGATCAACTTTCCAAGAGCAGGGTGAGCCTGGAAGCTGCAGCCACCAGGATTTTCCTGGAGCAATTCCTCTTGTACAGGGCTACAAGAAAGCCTCATTGATTTCAAAATTCCAAATACTTCTTTTATCCATATCTTTCTGAATGAACTTGCAAATAATGTGCAGTGTAGTGGAAATGTGAAATATTATCCTACTTCAAAGTGTATTAATCTTTCCTGAACTTCTCAGTATATTTGTCATTAATGCTGGTGTAGAGCAAAGGCTTTGTGCTGGTATGGGGGTGGAGACAAGTAGAAAACAGAGCAGTATTTACAAATAGATTCTGTAGACTGTAGTTCAAAAGAGATGACATCTTCCGTAATTGCAGATGAGTATTTTCATATTTGTTTTCTGTCAGAAATATATTAAATTATACTCACTGCCCCTAGCTAGTCTGTAAACCTTTTTTCTTACTGGCCAGAGTCCCGTTCCTAGCAATCCTTTAAATTTCTCATTTTTCATACAACTACCTTGATTATCTATGCTGTTAGTGTGCTCAGTGGCTTTTTGTTGGTAGAAGGGATCCCAAGAGTATAATTCTTTTTATTACATTTCACCAACGTGTGGGTAGAATAGTCCTTCCTCTTTGGAGGTCAGAGAGAAATGATCTATTTACTTCCTTCTAAATGGAGGATAATTCTGTTTTTGCTTGGCACTGAAACTTTTCTATCAGACACCTTCCTGGAGACAATATTTTAAAAGCCAGATTTTTAGCAGATTTGAACACTTACTGCAGTTCCCCATTGAAATATAGAATTAGATCTGAAATTATTTTCTTCTGCACTAGTGTCATTTTAAGAGTGCTTTGTGCCAGGGCCTTTGATGCCAAATTTCATCCCAGGGTGAATTCTTACATGTAGACTCTCAAAAGCACATTTTACAATAGACTTACTTACTGGCCCTTGGTTCCAGTAGTGCTGCTCACAGGCTCAGTTAAAAAGCAGACTCGATGGGTATAAGACCATAAGCACATGCTCTTTATAAAATACAAACCTTAAAG